CAAAGAACAGCCAATTACGGAGCTATTGTTGACATGCGACTTGGAACGTGTACAAATTTTGGCAACTGAAATTGAATGCCAGCCTATCAATCAAATGAACAAGTAAAATGACACGCGCAGAGAGCAGGGAGTACAAATACAGATGCATTGTGGAAAATGAGATTCGGAATTATGTCGATTCACTACGCACGTTTGACAGAATTACACATCAAGAAATATATTTCGATCGATATCACAAATAGCAATGTGACAAGATTTCCACCGAACGACAGTTTGCCAAAACTCAAAAGTCTGCTCGGAATGGCCACTTCAACCTAAGTACAACACAGCAAGGAATTGAAAAATGGGTTTCAGAGTAATTTAGTGTTGTGTTAAAAAAATAAAAATAAAAAAAAAGGCCTTTTTGGGGATCTTTTTTTTTTTCTTTTCATCTACAACTCAGGGGAGTCCATTGCCAGATTGGGTGACAGTTCAAAATTTTCGAGGGGTTCTCCAAGTCGTTGCATCCCTGTTACTGTGATGTTTTAAACCGTGTCGCTTGCCCGAATAACTCACCTTAAATCGTGCAAAATGGAACATTATTGCTGAGAAGAGCAGCGTGGGCAGTAGAATAGGTCATCAAGATGTGTTAAACAACCCCCGACAGAGCACCTTTTTTGTTTAAGCCAACCCACTGTTCAAGTGAGCAAAAGTATTGGAACATGTGCCTGATGGGTGCATTTAGGTGCTCAGGTGCTCGTAAAAGACTCGAGTCTGCGCGCACAACAAACAGGCAACGCCCTTCAACCGACATTGGCTTTCTCAAACTCTGGTGTCTTATATAATGGCTTGCCATTACATTACAATGGTGGGTGTCACACTCCGCCGTGGCGCATGCAAATACAGAGCTGCTCAAAGTAGCGATCCAAAGAACAGCCAATTACGGAGCTATTGTTGACATGCGACTTGGAACGTGTACAAATTTTGGCAACTGAAATTGAATGCCAGCCTATCAATCAAATGAACAAGTAAAATGACACGCGCAGAGAGCAGGGAGTACAAATACAGATGCATTGTGGAAAATGAGATTCGGAATTATGTCGATTCACTACGCACGTTTGACAGAATTACACATCAAGAAATATATTTCGATCGATATCACAAATAGCAATGTGACAAGATTTCCACCGAACGACAGTTTGCCAAAACTCAAAAGTCTGCTCGGAATGGCCACTTCAACCTAAGTACAACACAGCAAGGAATTGAAAAATGGGTTTCAGAGTAATTTAGTGTTGTGTTAAAAAAATAAAAATAAAAAAAAAGGCCTTTTTGGGGATCTTTTTTTTTTTCTTTTCATCTACAACTCAGGGGAGTCCATTGCCAGATTGGGTGACAGTTCAAAATTTTCGAGGGGTTCTCCAAGTCGTTGCATCCCTGTTACTGTGATGTTTTAAACCGTGTCGCTTGCCCGAATAACTCACCTTAAATCGTGCAAAATGGAACATTATTGCTGAGAAGAGCAGCGTGGGCAGTAGAATAGGTCATCAAGATGTGTTAAACAACCCCCGACAGAGCACCTTTTTTGTTTAAGCCAACCCACTGTTCAAGTGAGCAAAAGTATTGGAACATGTGCCTGATGGGTGCATTTAGGTGCTCAGGTGTTGCCTTTTAGATTGACTGGTGCTCGTTCGAATAATAATAATGACAATAGCTAGCTCACATTGACTGGTTGAAATCAGAGGATTGGGGCAATTTCAAGTCAAACAATGGTTTTAAACAGTTACTTGATGATTAAAATAGTTGTAGATGAATCTGATCATCGATGAGCTACTTAAACAGTTTGAGAACCACTGTGCACTGTGTCTCCAGCAAGCAGCTTTCAATGCTCCAGATGCTCACACGCTCACGCAGGGTGTAAATGTAGCAGCGCGACGTAGCTTTAACACAATGATAAGAAAGCAGACGCTCTTGAGTCGAATTCCTGACAGACTATTGTTTGCCGGAGGCGACGCTTCACAACCACACCTGACCTTGTTGTCGCTTGCATTAAGGACTTCAAATATAATGTGCATGTGGGTGTGTGAGAACTGGAAATACAACTCTCCATTCGGGGCAAGGGAGGCGGTGCCCCACCACATCCAGCAGAGGGCTCAGCTGTTTTAAATATGTTATCCTTTTTACAATTATTACAAAATACAGGGGAAACCTTGACATACGAGTGCCCCAGTTGAAACATTTTACCGGTTGCAATCTGTTACTGGGTCGATTTTTTTTTCCTTTGTGTTGTAGGCCAAAATTTGTACACTCAATGAGCTTTGGGCACACATGAGTGAAATGAAAAAAATAAGAGGGACTTTCAGCCGTTTATTGAACGGTTAAAAACCCAAAAAACAAACAAACCAAAAAAATCAAGCGGCACCGGAGCACTATAACATGCACGAACACACTAGAGATAGCTAGCTAGCGGGCTATCTCGCCCACCCTTCATGAATGATGAAGATATTTAACATTATAGAACCATCAACCTGAACCATTTTCCAAGCAGATAGGAGAGGAAAAATCACTCTGAACACACGCCCCATAGCACAAGATAATCACTTAGGACAATCTTTTAGAGACATCTGAAAATCAGACCTTTGCTAAATTTGATCGGAAGGGGGAAATTATCAGCATGTGTGTACCATGCTTTAGTTACGGCAGAGGGTTAGGAGACAAATCCCTCCGGGGAACATTCGCAAACATCCGTTTATTTAGATTGACGCTGCAGCTACTCTGCATCAGACCGTGCAAAGACGAATGCAATTTCACTTTTAATTTGCTCCATTTTAATATCTCCATAAACCTCGCTGAGCGTAGCCGTCACCGGCGCGATCACATTACGACAGCCCAGTGTCCGCTATAATAGTGGCAAAGTCAATCAATTTTATATGAGCTTCAACGTGAAATAGGTGCGAAAATTAGGTCACATCTCCCGTTTGAGAGGTGCCTAGCCCGCAGTCATTTGAAGTGGATCATCATCATCATCATCATCCATTTCTGAAGTTTCGTCAATCTTGTTGTTCTCTCTTGCAGGAAGCTCCTAAAGGTCACGTGGCAAACAGGTATAGACAATAATTAACAGCCCAGCACGTGTCCTTACAGCATACTTTGCCAATGCTGGGTCACGTGACGAAAACATACTGTAAAAACGTGGCATGACAAAGTAACGTGTTATCATCATCTTTGCTTAAATGCGATTAGCACATTCCAAAGAGGTGGAACTGCCTTTGGATTGCCCGCCTGCCACCGTGTTCTTGCAGGGAGAGATGGTGGGCAGCCAAAGGAGCTCTTCACGTAGGAGGTTAATGTGTGTCGGTGCTCACTTGTCATCAGTAATTGAAAGGAGTGACTTTTCAAAATGAGGTGGCGAGGATGAGGCCTTTAATTAGATTGAGACTGGTGCAGGATTAGAAATCTGGAGCATGCACCAGAGTAGTCTATACATTAAGGGAGACGCTTAATGTCTCAATCTGTGTGGCATGAGTGACATTTTGGGGAGCACCGGTTGATTTTATTAGGCGTCACTTAACCACAGAGATTACCTCCTGGAACAATAACACAAATCCCTGTGTCACACCGATGTCTCGTTTCGCCTTCATTAGCCACCCATCCATACTCAACACCGCTTATCCTGAACGGGGTGGGGGGAGCGCTGGATCCTCTCCCAGCTGACTTCGGGTGCAAGGCAGACTACACAGTGAAATGGTTGCCAGTCATTCGCAAGGCACTTATAGAGACAAACAACCATTCACACCGTCACTGAGTTGGAACGGATTCCACGCTGCCCGCTCACAAGCCAGGCGAGTTTAACTACACCATCAGCGACAGCTTTCTCCGACGCGCGAATAGCCTAACAACCCATTGTTGGCTCAGCAGCTCAGGCAACGTATCATGGAAGCTCTCTGCCATCTAGTGGTGAATATTCGAGTCAAATTTAGAACTACAAACATATAGTGAAACAGGGTGTTTGAACCATAAAAACAGTCCATTATTTTTACAATGACGACAATAATGAACGTACACTAATCTGGAAGCAGTCCGTTTACTTGAATAAAGATGTAGAATGAAAACCACGCCTACTATCTTCCATTCCGGAAGACTTTCTTTGGGACGAGCCAAAACCTCTGCTTCTGATTGGCCGATTTTGAAAGAGGCGTGGTATAGAGGAGACCGGTGAGTGACTCAGGAAGTAAAGAAGTTTGGTAAGAACACGTCACAGCAGCGGCGGAAGCAAAATACTTTTTTTATTTTTATTTTAAACAATCGCATAAATTAGAAAATACAGTATTAGTAAATCTGAAATATGAAACGTGGAAATAATCAATGAAATTACAGTTACACTAAATATTAGCAGACGCAAAAAAGGCAAACATTGTAATTTATTTTTGTCGTCTACAAGTTTTTGTCTGCTTTTTGTGATCAGTCTTCAGCAGTTATTTGGCAAATTTTACTTGAACAAATTAAGAATGTCATCATCCCTTCTAAATTTTTTGATATTAGTTTTAGAGATAATCTAAATGTAAAGACATTGAAATTAATAAATAATACAATAAATACATTTTTATTCATATAGTTATTTCACAATAGCTGCAGCTGTAACGAAGCGCTTTGCAGAACAGTGAACATAAAATAACAAAAATAATATCATAGAACACAGAACATTAAACATAAACAGTCATACAATCGTAACGACTATTCCTGTATGTGCCTTGTCGTTCTAAGCAGTTGTAGATGAACGAGGACAGAATCAAAGTCTCCTTTCACCAGTGGAACAATAAAAGCGTTTCTTGAGTTCTTTAGTGAGTTTTCTCTGGTTAACCTAGGATAAAAGTTTATCGTGCCTTTTTGTGTTTATTTCTTGCGTTGCATTTATACATTTTGTTATACATTTGTGTTTGTCATTGTTTAATTCAGTCTCAATAACAAAACAAGAAAAAATACTAATCTGTAGGGGGCAGCATCGTAAAGAAAGTCCTGAAAGTCGGTGGGAAGTGTAGCCGAAGAAGAACGTCCAGGAAAGTCAGCTTGTCCTGCACGTGTTGTTGTCAGCGTGCAAAACAGCCCTCGGATACAAACCAAAAGGCTCAAATAACGCAGATAAACGCATCGCATCCATTCGACTCCACACGACTGTTGATGTGTAGTCGCTTGGTAAGTATGCTACTATGCTGACGTTGATTTGCGCACACGTTGACGTCCGAACGCCTCAAATCTTTTGACAATGAGCGCTTCCCACTAGCAAGCTAACGTAATTCGAGTTTGAATTCATTGCCGTAACATCACAGTACCTAAAATAGAGTCCTTTAACGTTTAGAAATGAAGACCAAATCGTGAGTGACTTACCGGCGTGCCTGCGTTGCAAAAGTGCGGAACAACCGCTAAACTAAGTCAAATTCCCGCCATTTCATTTCCGTGCGTTCAAAATAGGCCACCATGCTTGAACGACGTCTTGGTACACGTAGTACAATGATGCCCAAGTGCGGTCCGCGAGAGCCCTTATCCAGCCTGTTTTACATGTTTACCTCCTGTATCAGCAACGTTTGCAGAAGGCAGCCTCATAAGGATCCTGATCATTTGAATCAGGTGTTTTGGCGGAGGGAGACATCTAAAACGGGCTGCTTATGGAGCTTTCGAGGACCGGACCTGTGCGCCCCTGATGAAGTGCCGCATATTATTTAGAGATTAAGAATGATGGTTGAAATATCCATAAACGCTCAACACAGTCAAGCCGTAACCCAGAGTCACGAGAACCTTGTTTGTTTGCGTGTGTGCTGCACTGTATGTAAACGAATGTAACTCAAGCATAGTAAAAACTAAAATAAAGTACTGTAATTCTATTGTCCTTTCAAAGTCATCTGGCCAACATTGATCATCACACGGTTGGTGAGCGTCACGGTTCATTGTCACGGCCTTGCCTAAATTAAACAATGCCCCAATGAATCTACAGAGAAAAGAAAAAAAGTACCGGTATTGATCCCGCGGAGAAACTGACTCCGCAGAGAGCAATTCTTGATTCCGTAGCTTGAAAGGGCAGATTTATTCCGCATTAATCTCTGACAATCTTGTCCATTCTCTGTTTTTTTGTTTTTGTTCCGATCAAAGACATGAAAGACACTAGTTGAATCTTGGGGTTAGGTTTGATCATTTGAAACTAATACCCCACGTGTTTGTTTTGTTGACAGTCCTTGAATGCATGTCGTGTGCAGTCCCAAGTGAAACTGAAAGTATAGTTCTGCTTCTCTCCTGATGCTCCTACTTACTACTACGTGATAGCCTGTGTAGTCTATTTTGCCATTACAATTTGCTTACATTGCCCAACATTCATTTTTGTGATCAAATACCAAAAGGGTGAGTTCAATGACTTGTGTGAAGTGCCCGTGTGTATATTTGTTTGCCCATGCTAGCTTGTTATTTTGGCTAGTATGTCAACCAATACTCATGATGAGACTCGTGTGAAGGTGGCTTGTTCGGGTTGAATAATTAAACTCCAGACTACAGTCCATTTATGTCACATGAGTTCATGATTGAGTATATGTTGGATGTATGGTGTTGATACTTTCCGCTCATCTCCGTTTGAAGTGCTTTTGTCAAACGTTGACCGTCGATACTATGTGTGCTCTCCATCCAGATCTCCTATGCCACTATGAAGTACATCCTAGTCACCGGCGGTGTGATTTCCGGCATCGGCAAGGGCATCATCGCCAGCAGCGTGGGCACTCTCCTCAAGTCATGCGGCCTTCACGTCACAGCCATCAAAATTGACCCGTACATCAACATAGACGCCGGCACTTTCTCGCCTTATGAGCACGGTCAGCCAACCGGACGTCTCGGTTACTTAGAGCCTAGTTTTGTGCCGCGTGGTTAATATTTGACGAGATGGACGCTACTTTTGTTCGAAAAGCCACACTAATGCATTCTCCGTGTGCATTTAGGTGAGGTTTTTGTGCTGGATGATGGCGGTGAGGTGGATCTGGACTTGGGCAACTACGAGCGTTTCCTGGATATCCGCTTGACGAGGGACAATAACCTGACCACGGGGAAGATCTACCAGTCGGTCATCAACAAGGAGAGGAGAGGAGACTACCTGGGCAAGACCGTGCAAGGTGAGAAACCGCTAATAATGTAGCTATGGAGCCTTTGTTTGTTTCTTTATTGAGCTTAATCATCGCTGTCATTTGTTTAAATGAGCCCCTATTCCGCATTTAGGTGTAAAGCAGTCATTTCATGATACCAGTTGACTCGGCTACTTTTATTTAGAGAGCTTGAAATCTGAATTATAATGTTTAATGTTTGGTGGGAAACTGACAAAGCTTTAAATTTGAAATTCAGACCACATATTTTTACTCCACTCAGTGCCAATGTGTTTCTGTATATTTACACAGCGGTCTTTTATAAAGTCCATTCATTGTCAGTAAATATTTTGTGTTTAAAAGAAAAAAACGGTTTTACGTGAAATAAATGAAATGGATTGATTTTATAAAGATACGCAGGATGCTTAATGACACATTCATGTAGTTATAGTTGAAAACTATTTTTTTTAAGTACTCAAAATTATAAGTTTTTAAATGTGATGCTTACAATTTCAAAAAATATATATTTCACCCCAAAGACCGTTCAATATAGTAATCATGTAAATGCATATGTAAAGCTTTAAAAAAAGAATGATTCTAAGGCCATTATATGGTTTAAAATAGACCACAATAACAATGCATTTATTTTTAATGCCCTTATCAGTGGGCACGCGAACCTTAGAATTGTGTGTCTTCTGCCCCGTCCAGTGGTTCCTCACATCACCGATGCGATCCAGGAGTGGGTGATGAATCAGGCCAAGGTTCCCGTGGACGGGGATGGCGTCGAGCCTCAAGTTTGTGTCATAGAGGTCAGTTGGTGTGGCTCTTATACACTTTGTTGCCTAAACTGGGTTTTTAAAAAAAGTGCTGTGTGAGTAAAAATACGACGCCACACGTTGTGGGGAAACAGGGCTGAATGTTTTGCTTTGGTGCGTTGCCTGAGGCGGTGAAGCGCGCGCATCTGTCGGCAATCTGCTGCACGGTTGGGTGTGCCGCTGTCGCAGCCGGCTGTCAATATTACTCAATGTCTTCAGTCCAAAACGAAGCGCAATTGCGGTCGGTTCATCTTGAAGATATGGTCTTGTGCTCTCCGTTGTTTATCTGGGGCGGGAGTGGGTCTTTCGCCCGAGAAGGAAAAGGGTTCATGTGTATGAAAAATAGACATAGATTATCGGCACGCTCGTACAGCCTCTTTTCTCTCTCTGTCTCTCTGCTCTCTCTCTCTCTCTCTCTCCCTCTCTCTCTCTCTCTCTCTCTCTCTCTCTCTCTCTCTCTCTCTCTCTCTCTCTCACACACACAAAACACCTCTGTATTGCGCAAGCTTTTACGGGTGAAACGAACTGACAAAAATGACAATATGTCAAAAAACTGATGGGCCAGAGTGAAGACATTTCAAGTGATGTCAAAATACATTTCAAGACACATGATGCCATCTGATTCAAATGTTGAAAATCAAAATCGGTATCGGCCCTGTCATGATGATGCAATGCGCCCTAAAGCCGGTGTGCGGTGTCCGCAGCTGGGGGGCACGGTGGGAGACATCGAGAGCATGCCGTTCATTGAGGCCTTCAGGCAGTTCCAGTTCAAGGTGAAGAGGGAGAACTTCTGCAACATCCACGTGAGCCTCGTGCCGCAGGTGAGTGATAACACCCCACACCACCCCCCTCCCTCGCTGCTGTTTCACTCTTCTTCAAACCCTTCAGAAAAGGCTTCCGACAAGTGCGTCATTGTTATTTTCGCGTACATTTAAAAATTAAGGTTCAAGACTCCATTTCAGATTTGCCGTGATTTGCCAATCAACAAAAGTATATTAAAACTTTTTTTTTGGGGGGGGGGGCTTGAACATTATTAAAATGCAAATTTGGATCACATTTGTCTGTATTTATTTCTAATAAATTTAAAATCATTCATAAACAGAAATGTATCATAAAATGAGTGGAATGAAATACAATTGTGTATTACAAAAATGCTTGTCTATTAATATACAGCTTAATAGTTTGCCATTATTTATTTAAACTGTTGGTTAAAAATCAATGCACTACAATGATTCACTCAACAAAAAAGAAAACTATGCAGGAATCCTCCAACAAAATGCCTTTGTAAAAAATGCTTGTGAAATGCAGTGCGGAGCGACAAGAGTTTGAATAATTGGGACGCTTGGTTTTTAATAAATAAAATCCATCTGAAAAGCCGACTCAAAATGTCATTGGTAAATATATTCAACAATAAATATGATTAAACCCCCCCCCCCCCCTTTAAACACCTTTGTTTTTCTCTCCAGCCAAACACGACAGGAGAGCAGAAAACCAAGCCGACACAGAACAGCGTGCGGGAGCTCAGAGGCCTCGGCTTGTCTCCCGACCTGGTGAGGCAAAAATACGAGCACCGAGACAAAACGATGCTGTCATAACTGGATACACGTGCAAAAAGAAAAGTCCAATCTGTGCTTCAGATCATGTGCCGCTGCGCAACGCCCTTGGAAACGGCGGTGAAGGAGAAGATATCCATGTTTTGTCACGTGGAGCCCACGCAGGTGATAAAAGGGAGATCGTTCGTGCCAGTTATTGAGCGGCATTTCGGCAGCACGTCAATCAATAAACAGTTCGTTCTTGCAGGTGATCTGTGTCCATGACGTGTCTTCGGTCTACCGAGTGCCTCTGCTGCTGGAGGACCAGGGAGTTGTTAGCTACTTCTGCCACAGGCTCAACCTGCCCGTGGAGATGAGGCCCAGGAAAATGCTCTCCAAATGGAAGGAGATGGCCGAGAGGCGAGTCGCTCCCCCCCGTTTCCCCGCCTCTCGTCCAAAGCTCGCCACTTACCTCAGCGAGGGCAACTGCTCTCGAAAATGCACGGCTGAAGACAGCCTCGGATGAAAAAAAAAAAAAGAAATAAAAAGAATATTAAATGCTGTTAACGCAGAGGAAAGGAAAAGATGAATTGCGCGGGGTATAAAACAATAATTTTGTGGCCCCATAACTTTTACGCCTTGGTGAAATGTGAGAGTCCTGAAGGAAACGGAGAATTTCTCTTTTCAAACGTGAAATGAAGCGGCTATAATCGTTTATTGCAGAAGGCAGCCCCCGATCCCTTGTTGCACTTATGTGATTGCTCTCTCTTCCCTTTCAAATGCTCTCCGTGTAGCTTGTTGCTGAAGGAAAAGGCAAAATGTTTGAGATGAAGTGCTCATTTAAGGGCGGCCATTTATTAGAACCGACACAAGGCGCACTTATGCAATAACCGCCGTCCCCATTCCGCATCTTAAATAGTCTCTCCTGCAGTGTATGCATTATAAAAGCCGTCTCACTAGACTGTTAAGCATATTTGATAAGAAGAAAAAAGCCAACATATGTCGAGTAGAAAATGATTGAATGAGCTCAATCGAGCCGCTGCCACAAAATGTTGCGACTTTCGACTTGAATCCATGCTGACGTTTATTCTTCTCTGTCCTCATTCACATTCCAGATCCGACCGTCTGCTGCAGCACGTTTCCATCGCGCTGGTGGGCAAATACACAAAGCTGTCAGACTCGTACACGTCCGTCATCAAGGCCCTGGAGCACTCGGCGCTCGCCATCAGTCACAAGCTGGAAGTCAAGGTATGGTGACGTCTCGCCGCGGCCTCTCATCATGTTGGACTTACGACGTGTTTAAAACGTGACGCCCGTCGCCGTTCGTTCCAGTACATAGACTCGGCCGACCTGGAGCAGGTCACTTTGCAGGAGGAACCGGTGAAATATCACGAGGCCTGGCAAAAACTCTGCAGTTCCGAGTGAGTGCTTTTAACCGGCCGTGTTTGTTGTCGCCACAGGAGGGCAGCAGAGAGCCACCCACCATGCTGGTTTAGAAGATAAGCTTGTCTCTGACGTACTTTGCTGAAAGAATTTTAACTCACCGTATTGACACTTTCACCGAGCAATCAATTTACTGCGTGTTGGCTTATTGGAGGACAATCAGTGCGTCCAACAAAACTCACTGTTCCCTTTTTACCGCGGGATGGAAGAGCATGCTCATAAATAAGCGGCGGGTTGTATATGGTTGTGTAATTTCACTCTTGACAAGTGGCTAGGCATTTTAGAGGACTTTTTGTGTCCTGTACAATCCCTCACACTGACTTTTACCTACTACTTGATGACCCCATTTAAGTTTTATCTTGCCAATTCGAGCGTAACATTTTCAGTAGCAATGTGCCTTTTTTTTTTTTTTTTTGTCAAAAAAATGGCTTCTTCGGTGAACTGTATATCACCTTTAAAAAAACACCTTCAAGTTGCGGTAAAAAAACTATCTTGCTATGGCAGGTTTTTGGAAGAGTTTGACGTATACATTCCGTGATTTTTAGCACTTTGTACAAGGTTGGCGGCTACTGATCACGTTGCTGTTTCAGGGTTTTGTTCATGCTGTGTTAAGTGACCTCTCTTCCTGACTAAATGTTTCACCACAGTGGCGTGTTGGTGCCTGGTGGTTTTGGTGTGAGAGGGACAGAAGGCAAGATGTTGGCAATAAACTGGGCAAGAAAACAGAATAAACCCTTCCTAGGTAAGCAAGCACTCTGCACAATAGCAACAATCGCCGATAAAATCCAATACAATAATAATAATAAGTGCTCCATTGGCGTGTTGGCCGCCCTACAATGGGCAACAATTAAGCTTTATTAATTGAATGCTCGTTTCACTTTGTGTGGGCCGACTTTTTAATCCAGCCTCTCAAGTTGCAACAATGTCATTCAACCGTTCTTGGCATTCGATTATACTCGATCAGCAAAAATGCTGTCTTGTCTCGCATCCGTGCAGGCGTGTGTCTGGGCATGCAGCTGGCTGTTTGCGAGTTCGCTCGCAACGTTCTCGGCTGGGAAGGTGAGAGATTGCGAACACGCCGACATTTGAGCCGGTCTTCCATTAGGCCGTCGCGTTTGGGAAGAAAATTTGAGCCGCTTTCGCTTTCTTTTCTCAGACGCCAACTCCACGGAGTTCAACCCGGACTCCAAGTACCCTGTGGTAGGTTGTCCTCCTGTGTGCAATAAATAATGTTCACACCAACCACTGAGAAAAGTATGCAGGTATGCTGTGTACAGATATGAATAATTGACGATTGTGAGTTGCAATGGGCATGAGGCAACGGGGACAGTTGATGAGAAAAAAAATTAGCTGTAGGCCGCCACGCAATTCGAAAAACCCTGTTGTAAATCTTTTTTAATTACTCAAATGATTCAATGAACACGTATTCCACAAAAGTTACATAATAATTGACCTAAATAAATGTCACTATTGGCCGAGGCCATCTAATGATGGCGGGACATGACCGCAAAGTTTTATCCTATTGGGAGTTTGCCAAGGAAAACAATGACTTGTTCGTCAGTGCTTGCCGCTTTCATTGTGATAATTTTAATTTTTTTGGGGGGTACGGCGCAAAGTTTTAAACACAATTGTTGGTACTCTACAGGTGATCGACATGCCAGAGCATAACCCGGGCCAGATGGGAGGCACGATGCGGCTCGGCCTGAGGCGAACCATCTTCAAAACCAAAAACAGTGTGCTGAGTACGTGCACCCTCGGGACCACTGCGCTAATCTTTACGCGTTCGTTCAAGCCACTTGTAATGAATTGGCCTCGTCACCCTTGCAGGAAAACTCTACGGAGACGTGGACCACGTTGACGAGCGGCACAGACACCGATTTGAGGTGAGCCGCGGGCCCTCGACGGTGTGGGGGAAAAAGGCCCTCTTTAATCAAGCCCGTTTTAATCTCTGGGCTCGGATGTAATCTGGCGCTATCGATCGGCAAACTCTTTTGACTTGCTCGTTTCCGAGATGATTTGATCCTGCCCTCGCTGCAGGTGAACCCTGAGCTCAAGCGCCACTTTGAAGAGAAAGGGCTTCAGTTTGTCGGCCAGGACGTGGAGGGGGAGCGGATGGAGATCATTCAGTTGGAGGGTGAGTTCATCACAATCGCATCACTGAAGCACACACTTCTTAAGCGATGCACAAGGGCCACAATCACTGTATAGTAAGTTTTCGTTTGAATTCAAGACGTTTAGTGCCTTCCAGGCTTTGTATTCCTCCAGACAGGACAAAAGTGGCCGTAGTTGAGATATTTGGCTTGATTGGCAAAATTCGGATCATCGATTCATTTTAAAAAAATACAGAATAAAGAATAAAACAACTTTTTTTGAACTCCCTTAATACTCCCAATAACAAAGATATGAATTACAGACAGAGAATGTTACAGTTTTACACGACTTTTTTTGTCAAGTTAAACTAGCATGGATGTCCTGACAACTCTTGAAACTTTCAAACGACTTGCATTCCAACACAAGCGGTAGCAACATGTGCTAACAGAGCACCAGCAACGCTCACATGCAAAAGTTAATCCCCAAGATGAATATCACCGTAGTTTACAGGAGTTGTGGTGCTCTCCGTTGGTGTCAAATTTGAGCGTTGTTCGATTAAGCCGTGCCGATTGATGGCCACTAACTTGTGTTCTTTCATATACTGCGCTTGCAATTTTCACCCCACTCTCAAACTACTGTCCGGCCTCTTTGCGATGGCTTGCCGAAGTTGTCGGGTCACATTTGTTATCAGATGAAGCTGAGAGGGTGCCGATTTCCCTCAAGGCCATCGGCGCAGAAAAGCACTTTTTCACCGTGTTAAACGCTTGCGCCACAACACTTTAATGGCTTTGTCCTTGGCTCAGGCCGAGGCTTGTTAAAAGATTCACTAACGCCTCCACTTCCAACACTAATGTTGGGCACAGGGTGGCTGCTATTCATTCTGCTCTTATTGCTGTCACTGTCCAAAATGAATGTCTTTGCTTTTTCAACGATTTGTTTTCCCCTGTTGTGGTGCTTTTGCTTTGTCCTTTATTGGTCTTTCTTTATTTTTATTTTTTTATTGTATTCTGTAAGTATTGTATCCTACAGGGATACATTGGCACTTGTTTTATTAGTCTGCCACATAGATTTTAATTTTGTATTTAGAGCATATTTGTAATTTGTGTGTTAGTAAAAATTTTGACCTCCAGAGGTTTTTTGTTTTTTGGTTGTTTTTTTTTTTTTTTTTGTTTGTTTTTTTCGCCCACCAACTTCTCCAGTGTGTAGAAATAGTACTGGAACGCTTGCTTGGTTTCATTTTCAAGCCTCCAATACTACTAGTGTAACCAATGTGAAAAACAGAGCTGTATGGTGGTTAAAAAAAAAAAAAAAAAAACGGGCAATTATGAATCTGAGAGATGGAAAATCCAATTAATTTTGATAAATTTTCTGAAAAACAAAAGTTTTTGCAATGTTTTTTTTTTTAATGAGAACAATAGCAGTCTAGATGATACTTTATGAACACATAAATGACATGAATGAAATACTGTAGATGTAAAAATATCATCAAACCGTTTTTGTCACACTCTTTCATTTTGCTTCTCATGCTGGTGTGCAGTACAAGACGGACGTGCAGTGATATACTGTAGTGTAGACTCAACTCCTTTCTTTGCTTCTCAGTACAGCATTAATATTAGTCGTTTTTTGCAGAGGATAAAGAATTTATACCCGAGTATCATCATCGTGCATTGCTGTTTGCGTTCAGATGCTTTATGGGTGACCATGGTGCCTCTCTGCTTTCTTTTTAGAACATTGCTACTTCATCGGAGTGCAGTATCACCCCGAGTTCACTTCCAGGCCCATCAAACCGTCTCCGCCCTACTTCGGCCTCCTTCTGGCTTCCGCCGGAAAACTCCAGAGCTACCTGGCTAAGGGTTGCCGGCTGTCTCCACGGTAACCACCACAAAATCCCACTGATCGCCTCCATCGGCCTCGCCACCGTAACGCTGGTCCCCGTACTTTGCAGGGATACATACAGCGACCGCAGCGGAGGCAGCTCTCCCGACGTCGACATCGCCGAGCTCAAGTTCCCGTCCTTGTCGTGAGGCCGGAGGCGGCGCAGCGCCGAGTATTAGACAAAAGTGCCACACAGAACTAATTTTCAAGCTATTGGGTACAATATACTTTTATTTATACTCTACGGTGAAATATGTAAAGCTTCGAGGGACGTCTTAAATAAAAGTTTTTGTTAGTAAAAGATGTGCTTCTTATGAGCTGCAGCACAGCGTTTTATGTCAGGGATAGAAGAGTGATAAAAAGGCAGTTTATCACGTGTTGGGCTTTAAAATGGTTTTACATAAATGAATGAGTTTGCATTGACAAAAGGTCCTACAAGGTCGTTGGTTGTCTTGCAAACTACTCCAGTCTGTTTCCGTAATGCAGTTTTATGTACAAATCAAACACTAACATTGAGTGTACTGTATATACAAACATTGTGTAATAGTAGTGTATGAACACACAAAAACAGTTTGATCACCTCTGCCTTGATGAAATAAAGAAACAGTCTCAGTGTTGAATGAATACAGCAGTTTCGTTGTCATCTCTGCTAGACGCACTTTTGTCCCTCGCGACAAAAGGTCAAGTTGAAAATGACAATTTGGGGACTGCACTTAGCTTCATGCAAACAAACACATTCCTTGAAGATTTCAATTGTGACTCCAGGTTTTCACTTTTGGACACCATGCAGGTATGTAAATGTTCAAATTATGAACCAATATAATATGTTTAACATGGCCTGCTCTCTCTGACAATCATATATGACAGTTTGCAGCTCCTTCCACATTAAGGCCCCAGTTTCAACTGAAGAAAAACGGAACCCTGTCATAAACTTGTATGTAGCACTCAAACAACACTAACATTTGGAACAAAAACAAAAAGGGACAGGCCATCTTGATTTTTTTTTAAGATGGTACTTTGATATACTGTACTGTACAGCAATCTTTTTGTACCGTACATTTCTGTAACAGCTTTCCCAGAAGGACTTCGGATTATCAGCTTCCTCTTTTGGGGCTGTTTTGTTCCCCACAAGCGGATGACGCTGTCAAGATAAAAAAAAAAAAAAAAAGTCATCAATGTTTACTCACTAGCTTCTCCTTTTCATCTATTTTCTCATCAGTTTTTCCACACCATGGTTGCGGGATCTCCTCAGTATTTTATCTTTATTTAAAATGCTCTTTCAAAAAAAAACTAATTTGTGAGGGCGACTAGCAAATAAATTAATTGCTCAGTGCTGTCATTGTTTGTGGGTTTTTTTGTAATTGTGCATACCACAAAAACATCGCGAATCTTGCTAGGAGCGCGCCTGCCTGCGCAAGTCTACCGAAAGAAAGTGGCCGGCGAGTGAACGCAAACCTCCCACGTGTGCGCCACGCCCAACAGTGACGTCACGCCACGCCTTCAGCGCCGTTCTAGTGTGTGAACAAGCAAATGTAAGCAACTTGGCCAAACCCTTCATGGAAGTAAACGCGTCCGTGTCGGCTGGAAAAGGAAATGCAAGCCACGAGTTGTCCTGAAATATGGTGCTTCAATAGGCTTTGATTTTCCTCACCTCGCCCGTCTTGCGAGTATGGACCCGAGCCTGTGGCAGTACCAGTTCCGCATCATCATGTTGGGCGACTCGACGGTGGGCAAGTCGTCGCTGCTCAAACGCTTCACGGAGGACCAGTTTCTCGAGGCCATCGATGAGACGGTGGGGGTGGACTTCTACGTTCACTTTATGGAGGTGGAGCCCGGCGTCCGGATCAAGTTGCAGTTCTGGGACACTGCCGGCCAGGAGCGCTTCAGGTGAGTCCGAAAGACTTTTGACTTTGAAGTGCGGTACACTCCAGGCCAGAAGTCGTCGGTCGGTTATTGTGACATCCAGACGCACGTTCGAATATGTCGTGACAAGAAGGCCCGCTCGCATTCTGTTCTCCTTACCTTTTCACACTTGATTGTTTGACGTCGTACATTGAATTGGAGAAGCAATCCCCTTGATTAAAATGCCTGTCAATCATTCTTCTTCTTCTTCTTTTGTTTTATGTGGAGATTGTTGAGGATTTGATTTGCAATGCAAGATGCAGCTCCTCCACATTTTATCATTCACAAGTGGCTAAATGCCCACATCATTATAATTATAAACACAATTCTTAACACTTTCCTCATATCTATGATTTGTTTTGAAAAAAAAAATCACTATTAGGTGATTTTTTTTTTCATGAACCTGTACGGTGTGACAGCGTGCCGCCAGGTTATTCGTAGTTGTGTGTGAGCCGGCAAAACGGAAAGAGGGAGGTCTGCGCCGTTGTGGGAGTGGTTATGGCCGACTTCAATCATGACGAATCAACTGCTATACTTTAATTCCCATTTAATGTGCCGTGCTCGTCGTCGCGCGCTAGCGTCTCGACATGGAAAAGTACCTCTCCACTGTGAAATGGCCACTTGGAGAACACACCTCCAACCCTGATTGTTTTTTGAGTAAGAACGTTCGCAACATGCCTGACGTCGGGACTCTTTTAGGTCGGTGACGCGCTCCTACTACCGCAACTCAGTGGGAGGCCTTCTGGTCTTTGACCTGACCAACCGCGCGTCCTTCGAGCACATCCGGGACTGGCACGCCGAGGTGTGCGAGCATGTGCTGCCCCACCGGGTCCTGTTCGTCCTGGCGGGCCACAAGAGCGATTGTGACAGCCAAGCCAAGCGGGCGGTGAGCCGCGACGAGGCCGAGAAGCTGGCCACCGTCATGGGCATTCCCTACGTAGAGGCCTCGGCCAAGACGGGCCACAACGTCAAGGAGACCTTCGAGCTGCTGGCCCGCCGGATTTACAAAGGACTGGCGAGCGGGGAGGTGGATCTGCACGAGGGCTGGGACGGAGTCAAGTGCGCTGCGCCGCTCGCTCTGCAGGGACACAGGAGCAGCCTGGCCCGAAAGAACAAAAAGAAATGCTGTGACTAGAGTGGTTAAAGCCACGGTCCCCAACTTTGTTTGCACCATGGACCATTTACACTTCAAACAATATTTTGATGGACTGACGCAGAAACATATTAAAATAAACATGAAAGGTGCAACTCAGCATTTCTCTGGACGGAGTTGTTGTAATTAGTGGGCAACATGAACGTGATTGCAGCCCGCAGATCGGGATTGGCCTCAATGTGAGTGGATCAAAATGTTGGACTCTGCGCAGCGGCGGGAGTAGTTGAAACCGCCATTTTGATGCCCTTTCGGGTTAACAGAGAGCTCATAGAGCCACTGAAGCATCTTCAGGGGCCCTGAAAATGGGGTAGTCAAAGTTGGTCTCCAGTGTCCCGACCACAGGTGTCAAACTCTGATCCTCCATGGCCACTATCCTGCATGGTTTATGTGTTTCTCTCCTCAGAGGATTCAACTGATCAGCTCATCAGCAAGCTCTCCAATAACGATCCTGATCATTTGAATCCGGTGTGTTGGAGAAGGGAAATATTTAAAACACAGTGGCCCACGAGGATCGGGATCTGACACCTGGGGTCGAGACCATTGGGTTCAAAAGTTGTGATCAAAAGATGTGTTTGTTACAGGTACATATGAGTGGCATACGTGCAGTACCACATATCCCCAGCAGAACTCCCTGAATGGTTGAGGTTCATATTTCGGTTTCGGTCTGTCGATAGAAGGCGAAGGGGTCGAGAATCCGCTCAGTGACTGGTTGAGGTTAAATTTCAAGTTTAGAAGAAGGCGATAGAAAACGCGTTTAATGCGGCTCGACACGACCTACCTGCACGTACTACCAGCGTCCCTGTGTTTGACTCACAGCCCGGCCTCGGCTCGGAAAATGGCAACCACATAGGATGAATGGGATGAGATTTTCATGGAGTTTGTGTAATCTTTCTAATCATAACCGTAAAAAAAGTTTGCCCTAGAACCATGTTAGGAGTGTACTCGGTCCAATGAAAAAAAAGGTTGGCAAGATTCTCACTTTTATCTCAGTATTTTTACTTTATTAAGTCAGAATCTTGCCAAACTTGTTTTTTCCCCTTTCATTGGCCCTTATCCAAATCCGTAGGAGCGCGTTTTGGGATATTTGGAATCATTTGTATAAAATCTGAATGTGTGGGCGGAGTCAAACGGTTCGGCCGAGCCACTCTTCGATTTCAACTACTTGCAAGCGGCACACAGTCGGATTTAATCAGCCAGCAGTCGGCTTACCTCGGCCGAGGGTGTGTTATAGTAAACGGCCGAAATATGCAGTGAAAGAAGCCTGAGAGGTGGCTCCTGGAAACAAGAGCCATAGTTCTGACGAACGTTGGAGCTGCGTACCTACTGCGATGCTAAGCTAATGTCCATACTTTCAATGACATTTTCTAGGACCATCGCCCCTGCCAACATGTCTGCCGCATTGGCACGTCTGTTAGCCAGTCCGAATATCACTGTAAACTGTGACACTGTGCTGACTCCCTTAGATCATTCTTTGGTACTACGACAGACATGTGCTTTGAATGATTGTTGGAGACCGATGTCTGAAAGAAGCTTAAAATGTACATTTATTTTTGTACCTAATTAACGAACTTGAGTTCTAAAAAACGCATAAAAGTATTCGATTTGACCACATACCAAACAGGGAAAAAAATAATGAAACTAAAACCATCGTGGTTCACAATAAACGTTTTTGCTTCTATATCCCGGCTTCTGCCGCATCTGCACAAATTGCTGAGGGTCCGAGGAGGAGAGTGAGCAAATTTGTTTTCACCCGGCCAACGTTGACAGTTACTCGAAGAACGCCACGGGGCGCTTTTGGATGTCGTCGCCGAGCAATGTCGCGAAGTCATCAAGGCAATTAGTGTCGCGCTCGCTGTGACGAATGAGCCTCCAGTGTCCCTATAACATTTCTTTTCGCCTCGAGGACACCCTCCCCGAACACTTGAATTGTTATACCGCGGGGCGTATAAGATGCTTCTGTGTAACTAAAGGGCGAGCAAAGTTATTATATGGCACTTTATAGCCCGAAAAGTCACTTGGACCATGGATTAAGTCCTGTGATGTACATTAGTATTAGTACAGTAAGTTTTTTTTTTTATACTTGTGCTGTGAGGCTTTCTAGGCATTTTCTACATCATTTAGATGACTACCAAGTTGGGCACCTTCAAAGAATTAACATTCGTGTGCTGGAAATTTGATGACCTTGAAATAGGCCTCTTGTGCTGATTTGTGAACGTTGGGAGTTTTTTTTTTAACATTGCATAAGCATTTTGAGTAAAAGGTCTACTGAATCAACGTGTGGCTTATTTTTGTCATTTTCTCATTTTTGTGTACAGTGACAAATAGTCATCATCCTGACCTCTGAGACAGAATATCATGTGGGTTTGGTAAAATGTTTTTGACTTCAGTTAATAAAAAAATGCAACTTTATTTGTCTTTACAAGTTTACATGATCCTTTGAAAGTATATTGACAAAATAAGGGTCTAGAAAGTCTTGCACTTTAAGTTTAGGTATGACTTGATGTTGAGTGTTGCAAAATTATTTTTGACCTTGTTTGATGGTTATCCCTGCGGAAAAAGTCCCAGTACATATCTTTTGTTTCTAACTAGTTGGACCTTGACCTGTACCAAGATGACAAAATTACAGAGGAAAACGTTCATTAAATATATCTCACAAATGTTCCCCAATTATAATGAAACAGCAGTTGTCACAATCCAAACAGGTGACGTATTTATTGACATTAACAGCTGAATGTGTTCACAAAACAGGAAGAAAAACAAAACCAAATTAGTACATTAGTACGTGATGATGATGATGACAATATACTCCAAAATTAGGAAGACATGACAATGAAATATTAATGTCAACAAATGTCCTTTCACCAACTCATGATACCTTATTGAGGACAACCCCCCCCCCCCCAAAAAAAGAAGAAATACAAGGTGTCGGGCTTGACAAGAATGATGGAGGCTTGCTACTTTTTGGTCGTCTTGCGGATCAGGGCCATTCTCTAGAATAAAAATAATAATAATAATGAGATTTGCTACAATTAGGATAATAAACAGGAAGGACTATAACTTATGTGGGTCACCTGTTTGTGAGCCTCTGTGGTGCAAGCCTTCTTAAAGGGCCGGATCTCATCCGACCCATAACCTGGGATCCACATGTTCCATTGACGCTCTGACAAAAAAAAAAAAAAAAAAAACAATAGCAATTTAGAATTAAACCAAATGCTTATTAAAAAAATAAGTACTTGTATTATTGTAAAATAACATTATGTAAAATACAAAAGTATTTCTTGAAGAAAAGCTCACCGAGGTGCAACTGGACGTCTTTGACCTCCAAACTGTTGGATTTGCGATGGCGTGCCAGCTGACAAGCGGCCGTCACCACGCTCTCGATGAAGTCGTCGGCGATCTGGAGCAGCATCTGTGGAGACGCGTTTCCGAATTACACTTTATATGGCGCTTGATGGCGGGGGCCACAACATGGGGAAGCGTCAAGACAAGACAGGGACGGACCTCCTCGACGTCCTCGTCCAGCTGCTCGTTGGGATCGATTTCTCTCACCAGGTCTTGAAGCTTCTTCTTGCTCAGCACCTGAAATTCATCATGACAAAAATTATGAAGACAATGCTTTTTTTTTTTTTTTTAAATCCCCTTCAGTCGTATAAAAGCGGCATGAGGGAATGCAAGCGTCAATGTTATTTGAGGGACAATTAATATGCTGATTAGGAATAAAACAACCAAGCAGATTTTTTTTTTTTTAATGACAATTGTCATCTTTGTTTCTTAGCACCACAACAAAAAATAATCAGCAAATGCGTAGTGCCTGCAAATGTTACTTCCTGCTTATGCAGTTTTTCTGTTGCAGCGAGTTGATCGCGCTCAATGGTGAGTCACCAACTGTAGTTTATTTTTTCACTTCTGTCCAATTCCGTCAACTTTCGTCGTTCGATGCGGAGGGGTGTGCCCGTGCTTGCATCGACCCACCTGAGATCCTTCGGGGCTGCTTCTGCCCGCAGGACCGGGTGCTCCCATAACCTTTACTGCCGTCGCGGTGCTGTTGGCCATACCAGCACCCTCGGGACGATTGGCAGGATGCGCAACGTTTGAGTGCCGGGTCACTTTCAGAGCGAAGACGACGGATTGGATTATGTGCAAAGCGGGACCACGTCCATATATCTGCACAATGGGAGGGAAAAGTGTGTCAGCTTCACAAAATTAGGGACACTTACGATTCTTTTCGACATTCAGCTAATTCGACATTTCTCGAGTGATTCACGTCATTCAATATTCAAAATATGACTGATTATTTTCCAGCTTCCACGCTTCTTGACTGAAAGTTACCTAATTCAGTTGGATAATATTTTATTATTCATTGTCCCTCCTTCAAAACTTCTTGACCCCCTACAAGCCATTCCAAGTCTCACAGTCCACATTTCATCAATAATTCTAACGCTCTTCAAGCATCCAAACGCATTTTGTACCGAAATATCATTCTCCAGTTATTGCAATATGTTTGCATGACTCGTCGCGACAAAAGCAGTTACAGCGTCCCACGCAACAATAGCCTGAAAGGCAATTGTAAACAAACAAACAAAAATAATGATTTCAAATTAAGATCTTGCGATTAACGTGCAAGAGTGATGGCGTGTTATGCTAAAAACAATAGCAACCGTATAGCTTTGACTGTAGCAGACGAAGCTAACGTTAGCGTCGGTGCCTTTTCAACACGGTTTCAAGCAGCTTGTCCAATTAATCCTCTTACCAACTACGCAGAGATCATCTGTCCATGTTTAGGTGTCACTATAACGGGAAAATTGTGAGATAAATACACACTTATAGACACGCGCCTCGGTGCTACTTCGAAGTAACGAGCAAAAAAAAAAAAAAAGAGAGCGAGATGGTTGGTTTTTTTTTTTGCACCGCACTACATCCGGTTTCAGGCGTCTACTTCCGGTCTGAATCTCGCTTCCCTCTTGCGCTGCATGTTGGATATTTTGCGTCATTACAAGTAAGTACAATTGATCGGCAGTTTGAGCAGTTGATGCATTCCGGCCATCCATTGATCGGCGATTGGTGGGTTTCAAACGTTTGACAACAAGTACTGTAACACATAAAAAAATACTTAGCTGGCTATGTACTACAACCATGACTTCGATACTGTAAAGTCGTAGGCTAAGGTGTTAATTAAAAATAGGCTTTAGTCTGGCTTCCAGCAAACTGTTATTTATTTTATTTTATAGTTTGCTTCTATCACTTATATTGATTCGCTAATGAACAGCCAATCGCAGAGCGAACAATTATCACGGATGGCCAACGCCATTTCGCACATTTTGCCTCAAAAATGTTTTAATCCTTCACAATTCTGAACACTGCTTTTCACTTTAGTGTGTTTCTGCTTGTATTATGAGTGTGTGTTTTGGGCAAGATTTGTATATGCGTGCAGTTTATTGAATGCATCAATGACTGCAGAAGGTGTTATGTACAACGAGATCTCGGTCGTGTTAGTTGCTCATGTTACCCAGAAAGTGCTGATTTTGTTTTGTGAATAAATCATCAAATGTATTTCTAGTTTACAGGACGCTTTGAGGTTTCGGTTGGATTGTTTGTTTGCAGAGACTGTTTCCCAGCTGGCCTGGGAACGCCTAGGAATCTTCCTGGAACAAGTGGCTGAGGAGAGGGAAGTCTGGGCTACCCTGCTAAAGCTATTGCCCCCCTCGTAGCCCGACCCTGGATAAGCGGTAGAAAATGGATGGATAGGTGAACTTTACAAATGTGGTTAAATGCAGTAACAAAGCGTTTGTCCTTGGTTACTTGCCAGGTAATTCAAAGCTCAAATAGCTTTGACGAGGATTGAAAGCTGCATAGCGTCAGGACGTTTCAAGTATCCAGCGAACTCGCACAAAAATAAAAGTGCAAGTACAAAGCTCCAGGTGGAACGCTTACATGTCACGTCATATGAGGTGACTATAAAAATAGCTGGTATGAGCCAAGATTTGAAACGGGTTTGACTGGTCAGCCCACATTGGTAAGCCACACCCGCTCCAGCTTCTTGTAAACACTAGCTTGATAGTTTCGTTTTCAAATAACACCCAGGCCAATTTATCTGGTACATGTACAGTATATGCAAACAGTTGGTGAATTGGATTTAAAGCAATGGACTCACTCTTTGTCGCTTTTTACCTTGGAATGGCCTCCCTAGTGGATGGTAATTATAGATTTGTTCTTCAAAATTTTGAGTAATTCTTCGATTTTAATATTTTCTTGTTAAACAAGTACTAAGAACTTAATGTTGCCCCAAGTACGGTGAAAATCCAGCTTTGTTTTTAAGTACAGTAAACGGTAGCGTTATGGCTACACAAGATATATTTTGCAACAAGGCCTGTTTTGCTACTTAACCATTAGATTTTTTTTCCCCTCTCAGCTGCAGTAGTTACCTATGACATGGAAAATGTTGTGGAATTTCATAATCGTTTCGTTTTTCTTTGTATCCAGGTGCCTTGCTCATTCAAGGCCCGAACCAGAGCGTTATGGAAGGTGAAAGTGTGACGCTGGAGTGCCTGTACTCACAAAATGAGTACAATATCAGCCGTGTAAGATTTGAAAGCTTCTCCCAGGTGAGCAGTTTGGGCCACATGCTGTTTGAAGTGCTCCTCAGGCGTCCTTGTCAAGCAAAAGTGCTGCCTTGAGATGTGACTTGAATTTGTTTTGTGACCATGCTCAAATCTCAAATCATCTTTCCACATTGAAAGGAATGAAAATGACATTCATCTTTTCCTGCCCCAACATATATATTTTTTGTTTTAATATGGAAAAACAGCACCTCTATCAGATTGTACAGTACTTTATAAATACGAAGAGGAACAACTTCATTAAATGGAATGTACTACTGTATCTAATTCAGTGTGTTGCTCCCACCTTGGCCAGCAGGAGGCAGTATAATATATTACAGCATTACAAAGATAAATAAAAGAAGAGGAGACATCTCCTACTGTACTCAGAATGTTGCTGTAATGTTCTTAATTTTCGTCGATGTTAAGGAATATACGCATGTGCTTATTTTTATATTGTCCGTCTACATGTTTTTGAACAGCTTATGTTCATATATATTTATTGATAAAAGGGTTCTAAAATCGCGTCTATCAATGCTAACAATAGCATGTCAGTGGCATTTTCCGTTCATGTTAACAAAGCTAGCGGGGCATTCTAAAAATAACATCGTTTTCTGTTTTAAAGTACACAAAAGGTGTAATTGTCTTCGTTGTATTTTTAATTTGACGCAAAATTTAAATTGGGAGTGGCGTTGCACCACTTGAAAAGTCTTTTGTTGGAAATTGCAAACTTGCGCTTGTGGTGATGTAATGTGAATTGAGTTTTCTGCCACCAATACAGTGCTAGGACTGTCTCAAGTCTGCACTCACAAGTCAAAGCAAATAAAAGATGACGACTTGAATCTTGAAAAACCAATTACAAACCTTTTTAGTTGGCTTTTTATTTCTCGGTGGTTTTATTTCTGATTCACTTTACAGCTTTGCCCTACAAGAGGACACTGTGTCTGAATAGGTCTCATTTAATATAATTGAATTTTTATTTTATTTCATGTTTTTCCCATCTATTATCTGCGCAGATGCTCCAAATGTGGCACTCGGTGTGGCCGGCCTCTTGGTGCTTCTACAATCTGAATGTGGAGCAAGTGGATGACAAGATGGTGTTGCATGTTTCCCACGTTGCCCCGTTTTTTGAGGGGCTCTTTCGTTGCGTGTCGGATGACGGCTCATTGAGTGCGCCGAACAACGTCTCCAAGACGCTGTCCTTAAAAGTGAACTGTGAGTGCTGCTGCTGCTGCATCTTGAATTTTCAAATGGAAATTCCCATGCATAGTTGCCAGAGCCTATCGCGGTTGATTTTGGCGAGAAATATGGTACCACTCCAAGGTTGTGATCACGAACAAAAACTGACAAAATAAATCAAACTAAAATTGGAGGAAAAAAAAAACATTTCCGCAAACAAAATCAAAATAAATGAAAATGTTTTTAAAAGAGTGAAAACGAATTGAAACGCCATCTTAGTATTATTAGAGTGACAATGTCATTTGTTTTTGCCTAATTGATGTCATACATAATATTGCAGTGTCATTTGAAATCTATTTATTTCGGTCTTGCTATCCAGTACGTCCGTACAGAAGAAAGAAGGTCAAAGTCGTTTGTGAATTGTCGCTGACTTGACGCAATATTTAGTGACCTTTTTTGAAGGATCCTTACATGACAAATAGCCCCTATGCTATAAATAAATAAACAAATAAAACAAATACAATGATTAATGAAACTTAAACTAAAACAAAGTATATTTGAAAACATAAAAAAAAAAAAAAAAAAAAACCAACAATCTTGCTACACACACAAATTCAAATTAACTGAACAAAATAACATGTTTTTGCTTCTGTCAAGGCTAGCGGATTGGAATCCCGAAATTGAGTTTTGTTCATATTTGTGGCCGGGCAGGCAGTAAAAGAACACTTGCAGTCATGTGGCTCTCTGCTGAGCAAGGGACACAGGGAACACATTCATAGTTAATAACCAAAGAAATATCCATGCACTACAACGACAGACAGCGGCACTATTGTCGCTCCTTTGTTTTGCAGATTTAAACTCTTGGGCTCCTCAGCGGGAACCGAAATTCATCAGTGCGCTTTGCTTTCCACAGCATCCATTGCACGGCCGCTCGGACTATCGGCGTCCTCTATCTCCTATGCGGCCGTCCAATCGACCGGCGGCACTGCGCGATAGCCTTCTCGGCCTCACGGGTGGGGGGAGGGAGATCAATAAGAAGTTGAGATTAGACTGCGGCGAGAGGACAGTGAGGACGAAGGGCTTCTATTGAGCTGGAAGAAAAAAAAAAAGAGCCATTATTCACAACACTTCTTCTCAATAAGTCCATTACTGCGCTATCATTATTGATGACTCCACATTGAGGCTTTCTTACTTGAGTTTATCATTCTCGAAACCAAAAAAAAAAAAAAAAAAAGTTTAGGTCTAGGGATCCCCCTCGAGTTGTGAAATGTAACCTGTAGTGCCGTGAAAAAATATTTGCCCCCTTCCTGATTTCTGTGTGCTTTGCATATTGTTCACACACTAAAGTTTCACTTCATCAAGCCAATTCTCATATCACACAGAGACAACCCAAGGAAATACAAAATGCTTTTTTCTGATTGCTAGCTTGAACTGCCCCTTCAAATGCAGACTTTGACTTGGCCATTCCCAAACCGTATTTTTATTTTTATTGTTTCTTTTACATTTTTTTTTTTTTAGCCATTCAGGGTTACTTTGTGATTTAACAAAGGCGTGTAGGGGGGCAATTACTTTTTCACATAGGGACAGGTAGTTTAGGATTTTTTTTTCCTGCATTAAGAAATTAAATTGGCATTTAGAAACTGTATTTTATATTTTCTTGGATAGTATCTGTGTGATATTAAAATTGGTTTGATGAACTGAAAAAAAAGGCACATTTCATCCACAAGGCAACTCAATGTTTCACACAAGCAAAGACGCGACACCGTAAAGCATTTAGAAACACCACAAACAGTTACCGACATTCAGAAGCAAAGCAAACACGTAGCTAACCATAGAACTAATAATCACATGCACAATCATATTTAATTTATAGAAAATGGTAGCCGTGCTGATTGTCAAAAAAAAAAAAAAAAAAAAGAGAAACCAGCCATTTCTGTGGTGTACCAGATCCAATCCGCCAGTTCAGAAGATTTTATTATTTTTTTGCTTTGACTTAAGATGCAAGACTCAAGTGATTGCACCACAAAGCGGCGATTTGGCAAATGGTGAACAATTCATCAAAAGAGAAGCTTCCAGCTGTTTAGGTTGTCGAAGCTGTTGATGCTTACTACCCAACGAAACAAAAAAAAAAGAGTGTTACACTTTTTGTATTTCAAACAACCTTTTCAGTCCACTATCTTAATGCCTGCGCTAATTCCCATCTACGTTGCTGTGATTCAATTGTATGTTTTTATAAAATACAAAATTCTGGTGTGCTATTTTATCTCATGAAAATATGCTTGATTGTAGACTTGGGAGAGGTGTACCTTTCCAGAGAGGGCTACAGCAGCTTCCTGGGTCTGTCACAGGAGATTCGTGTACAGAAAGGAGACGACGTGACGCTCAAGTGCTCGGCCAGCTGCTCGGAAGAGCCCAACTATATTTGGTACAAGGAGGTGAGCCTTGAACCTTGCTGTTTTATTTTTGTCATGAACTTTTTTTAAAATTTGTTCTGGTCATGCAGGTGCTAGGTGCCCCCCCCAGTTCAAACAGCAGGTTTTGATGATCGAAAAAAAATCAGACAAGATAAATTATTTAAAAACCTTAACCTATCACCAAAACAACTCAAGTGAAAAAAGACAACAACTGCTTATTTATTACGGAGCGGAATTAAGAAATCAATCATATTTGTTGAAATGTTGAAGAAAAAAAAAGCATTTTTTTTCTTTCGGGGCTAAAGGGCACGTGTTTGAGCACCCCCTGGTGGCTATGTGTGCAATGTCATCGTTTTGTCTTGCTCTGTCGTCCACTGTCAAACCGCTTCTTTTGCCGTCATCGGGCTCGGCTGATGCCAAGTGAGGCGCGCCTATTTAAAGAAGGGATCAGGCTCTAACGCGGTCGACCTCAAAGCAAATATGCCTTTAGATTTGCAATGACGCTTTCTTTTGACTCTCGGGCAAAACAAAACCTTGAATTATTCAAGCGCTGCGCAGGAGCCGCCGCTCGAGGGAAACGAATGTGACACAGCGTGAGAGTGAATGTGCCAAGCTGGCAAAATTTGATGAATTGGCAGATGCACGCCAGCTTCAAAGTCAATGTCAGAGGCCAAGGCAGACAATAGAAAATGTCAAATCAATAACCGTATTGATTGCGAAGCGCCGTGGAAGAGGGTCAAAAGTCAAGGCAGCGTCGAGATCATCATTCAAGTCTTCGCCGTGCCACACTTGCGGCGAGAATGCGGAGTGGCACTTTTCGATGCGAGACTCCATACACGTGCTGCAAAAGATTGGAGAAGTTCTTCTCATAACTACTTCATCGAATAAAAGATAAAATAAATGAATTTAAAAAAAAACTTAGCGTCATACTTCAGTTGACAGTTGAAAGGCTGAAATTTGAAATGAAACAAAGTCTCAGAACGATTCATTTATTTTATTTTTTTCGGATGTTCAAGAGCAGCGTTCGTGTTCAAACGGTGCATAATGATAAAGTGGCATCCAAAAATACTCAAGCAACTGTAGAATCCTTCCGAAGAACGACGATATTTTATAAATGAAGGGGTAAAAACTTTTCAACTCAAACTGAAAATGTTTTATGGAAATAAAATAACAGAAAATATGCAATATTTCTTTTTAAACCAAATATTTAGCATAGTAAAAATATTCCATTACTAAATTTTTTACTACCACGTAATTAAAAAAAAAAAAAACATTAAGCTGTATCTGCAATCAAATGCCTGGATTCTTAAAAGAACATGAAAAAAATGTCGTTGGCACTGAATGAGTTTGCGAGCTTGTGAACGGCTCACCCCTCTGTCGGCTGTTCTCGTGCTTTCACATGCTGCCGTCATTTGCGACGCTGTGAATGCTGACGCGTGACGGCTGTGCTTCCTTGAAGGTGTTCCGCACCTCCCGGCGTCCTTGCTCGCCTGTCAACGTGACTGACAGCTCCGCGGCGATGACCGCGGGGGGTCACCCAAGCCACGGGGACAAGTGTTCGGCCGTGTTCCCGCGCGCGTTTCAATGCGCGTCGGGGAGGCGGCATCCCAACATCCCGTTTTGACAGACAGCAAAGCGTGGGCGCAACAACAGCCCGGCGGTAATGACAGCGAGACACGGACACAATCGTGGGGGGGGGCCGCTGGCTTTGCCAGCCTCCAGATTTGCATACAAAATGCTCCTTTGGCCAAACCTGGCGTGTTTGTTTGTTTCTTTTTTGGGGTTGGGTGCAATCCTCTTAATTCTGATGCCTTCCAATTGAAATGGTCTCTTTCTTGGCAGGTGTGGCAGCTCCCAGGAGCCAAATCATTTGCATTGTGTCATGTCTTTTTTTTTTTTGCGGGGGTTGTTGTGTTGCTCCTTAGCGCCACCACCACATTTGTTTGGCCGCTGATTTGTTTGGAGCGCCGTCTGGTAATAGTGAAGCTATTTCCGTGTCAGGATTCATCCCTTGCTCCCTTGCCATCTCATTACGCCTTGTATCGCCCGCGCGTGTGTCGTTGTTGATGCTGCTGCTGCTGCCGCATCGCTCTCCCGCAGACGGCGGCCTTATCTAGGTTATTGACTCGTGGCAAGGCGGGCACAGTTTTTCCACCGTTTCCATCGTTCACGGCGTCGCACCCCTTCTAAGTCGACGTCGGGGTAGTTGTTTTTTGGGGTTTGTAAAGTTTACGGGCCTTCGGTGTAGCAGCACGTTTTGCTGTTATTAAAAGTCACTGTTCCCACAGAGGAGCAAGATGTCTGCGAGTATTTTCGTGTGCTTGGTTTGTATGCATTGCTGCTCCTTGTGTGTGTGTGTGTGTGTGTGTGTGTGTGTGTGTGTGTGTGTGTGTGTGAGTTGCTGGAAGTTTTAGAAATAGCGGAAAATCTCTGCGAATTTCCATTGGCCCGTGTATGGCATAGAGCGTTGTACGTTAGCATTAAGCTAGCACACTCTCGATCAAACTCCGGCACGACTTCAACTTTGCCTTCCTATTCCCTTCAGGGCA